ATTGTGAATTGTGAAACAATTTATTCACTTTAACAGATATTGTTTTGGAAACTATGTTGATTTTGTAATAAAATCTTCTTTCACTGTAACAGTTAAATGAATTACATATTCACTGTTTTGTAACGTAGATAATACGTTAAAATAATCTTTATTATTATAAAATTATAATGTAGAAAACAGGCCAATTTTGTCTCAAACGCATTGTAATTTCTTAATTATTCTACAAAATGCAACCTAGAATAAGGAAATCTACAGAAAAGCAACAATAGCCTAGTGGTCACGAGTTTTGTCCTCGCAATAAAAGGTATACCGGGTTGGCATTTAGACTACGAGCGAATTGATCAATAAGATTTTAATATTTAAAAATCACTTGCTTCGTGCTTTGCAGAACATATTATATCGGTGGCTGGGACGTTGTCACCGCATTGGTGACAGCAGTTGTCAGCAGGCTCCAACTTGTAGCATGTAGGGCTTAAATTTATAACGATTAAATTTAATATTAAAAAGTGTAAGATATGCTACAGCAGTACGTCAATATAAATAACACAAAACAACAACAACAGAAATATTAAATAAATATTATTATTTTCATCATAAATTATTTTAATTTCTTTAAATAGTTTTAAAATTAAAATCTGTCGAAAAAGCAAACATACATTAAATAATTTTAAGCAATCACGTATCTAAGCCTTAGACAATAAATGAAATACCCCAGTTTTAACTTATTTACTTTTTTTTATTGATATTTACTTTTATATGATTATTTACTTTTTTGCATATTCAGCATTCACATTGAACACCATCGCATACACCCTCAACGATATAGCTAGCGGACTATCAAATTTAAAATTTTATACTTGGTAGAGCGTCTTAATATTGAAACATGTATGTGACGTTAGAGGGCGTTAAATCTTTATAGAAGAGATATAATAAAACTAAATAAATCTTTTTTATATCCTTTGCGTTTGTAAAATGTAATAATTTCAATATTTTACCAATAGGTTTGTAATGAAAGCCAGTATTGTTAGTTCAGCCATTTTTCATTGTTTCTGGTAATAATAGAATTTTAATAATTGTGTTAAGATGACAAAAAAAATGCATTAAATTTTACTTTTTTCAGTACTATAGTCTATATGTAACAAAAGGAAATGCGGTACTCTCATACTTATCTGAATATTAAAATCGGATATGATTTCTTTTTCTTTAAGTTGTAACTGTGTCCGCTTCATTCTAAAATCATTTTTTTAAATTGGTTACTACTTCGAACTTAATCAAACTAATACTTTTAATTCTTATACACGGTCTCTGCTTGCATTTATCTTTTAATCTGGAATAAGCTTACTTTAATGCTTTTAAGCGTAGAACGCCGTTCGCACAATGCTTTTATGTATCTAATTCACTAATAAAGTATTCTAAATCCGCGTACTTTGGTTTACAACAAACAAACAAGCTGACAAGCCAAAAATAGTTTTTTTTATGATTCTTACATAATTTGACAAATAATATAAAATTTCTACTATTTCTTTATTTCTACTATTTACCTCTTTTTTCTTTACTACAATTTCCACTATTTGTTTGTAAAAAGCAGAATGATAATCTTGTACTAAAGAGACATCATAAAGGAAAGACGGCTCTTTAGGCATGAAAATTTCATTAAACGGGCATATTCACGTCACTCTACAAAGGACCAAATATGGTGCATCTGCAAGAACTTCAATAACAATAGCACGAAATCAGCATTCAAAAATATCATCATTACCTTGAATGCACTACTACTTATTATGGACTATTTTATGTTAATAAAATGAGTATGCCCGTTTCTACTAGCCCAGCTATATAAGATTAACTAAACTTATGCACATTTTAACCGACTTCCAAAAGAGTAGGTGGTTCTATGTTCATTAGTATATTTTTTTAAAGTATGCTCAGCGATAATTTTGTCAATAGTGAACTGAGGAATTCGAAGGATATCCTCAAATATTGTAGGCACTTATAGTGTGTTTAAAAGTCCTTTTTGTAGTTGTTCATGTTTTTGCGTATGATAAGTATTATATTATGTTGCTAAGCTCACGATGGAAGCCATAGCACTCCAACGGTTAAGAGACAAACGATAATTCAGCGATTTTCGCCAAAAAAACTACTCTTCAATGGCTATTAATTAAATGTAATACACAGAATTAAAATTAATGGCGTATATATATACCTACATATTTTTATTCATTTATATAATACCAACGTGACAATCGTAGCAGAAACACATCAGCACTCTTAGCAATAATATAAGCAACACAGTGACATAATTTAATAGATCACGTCGAGCTTAGGCTTCACGTTGAACTGACTCACTGTAATTCAATTTGTTCTTGTGCAGCTTCGTTGATTTGTCCGCGCTTCGACAGACGTCAAACGTCAGCTGCAGCATTTCAGCCGTTGATTAGCTCGCCCGTGGGGACGCATCGACGTATGTCTGCGCCGGAGGCTCAGTGAGTAAAATGCTTGGCGTCGTACGTGACACGTTTAAGTTCGATTGACTGTTGAGTAGAATAATAATAATTTAATCTAGGTAGCCGATGATTCACATTCCGGTCGTAATTTTGATCCATCGTTACATCATTGCACAAGCACAGAATCCTCGATTAATGACAGTACAGTTAGTATACATTTATGGTATGTAAGCATTTGTTATTATTATTTACATAACTGTCACCTCCAATATATCACTTATGTTTAGATATAAATAGAATCAGAAACTTTTGCTTAAGACTAACAGCAATAAAAACGATAATTTTGAAATAAGCAAATTCGATTTTGATCTTATTTAATTCATGCTTAATATTCTAAAAATAAAGTTATATTTTTTGAGCAACAATTTTATTTAAAAATACCACTTGACTATTTGGTAATTCGAAGGACATATCAGGACATTGCTGTTAAGACAGATCGGTATTGAAAAAAAAATTATGTAGATAACAGATTCTTTCTCCTTGAGGTCGATTTTTATAACGTCTTATAAATTGTGCTGGCTTCTTTCGGCTTTTGGTAGATTGAGCACTTCCTCAGGCAACTAATAATTAAATGCGGGTTTTGAGAATCAAACTTCCTCTATACTATAATAAGTTATTAAAAGCATTAATGATGTTATGGGAACGATAACTTAAAGAAGTTAAAAGATTAGAAAACGCGTACTAGCTTCGAAAGATGCATTACTTCTTCTTTTTTAAACGCAATGTTATACCGGCAGCGCCGCGTAAAGTCAGGTACGACAAGAAAGCGTTAGCCACATGTTCAGATCAGATGAATTAGCAGGGCGACGGCAGCGGTACCTGTAGCGGCTTGGCAGTATACCCAGCTCAGCGTCACCCACAAGATGCACGATCAGAGAAAGAAGTCCCACAAAAGTTGGTCCACAGACGTCTCGCAGCAGAGCTTACCGGAACAGGTTGTTGACAGCAGCGAGAAGAACGTCAGAGCTGTAGTGCACAGCCAAAAATAGCAAAAAACAGAAGCTTTCGCCGGGATAGATGCCTTTTTTCCGTCGATTTCGCAACCAGGGAAGACACCTGGTGGTCGGGGACCTGCTTTGACCACTCGCGCTGGTCAAGAGTGCGGGCACTGGGCGAACCGACGGTAACTTGCTCAGTGTAGCGAGCTTTGTATAGTAAAATGTTCCCGGTGAAATCCGTGACTATTTTACTTGAAATTCCTCTACATTTCAACGCAACTTACAATAATTCCATAAATGACTTTGGAATATACTAAATTTTCAAAAAAGTACATTCACCATTATACTCGCTCACTCTCACTCACTCGTAATACATAACTAAAATTAACATTTCTAATATTAAACACTTTGTGAAAACCGAACATTTTAGAAACAGATATGCAAGGATTAAAGAAATAACATAATATATCAAGGATTAAAAAATCGACACCAATATTTTTACTGATTTTTTAGTCAATAATTTGTTAATGCATAACAGTAAATAAACCTATTAATATTAAACTAAATCACAAATTAAACTAAAGTAATTTAACTGAGCACATACTTTTTATTGCTGTGACACCTGTGACAAAATATAACTTATTATTATTCCAGCTGTTTCTCATCCGCTGCATCTGCGCAAACTAAAATAGTATTAATTGTTTAGGATCTAAATCTCGATACCGGTCCTGTTGTGCTTTTTATTCCAAATCCGGCGTCCATGTTAATCTTAATTCTCCTTTGGATATTTTTCTAGTGTATATATATTTTATTTATGCTATGAAAAATTTTGTTACGATCTATTAAGCGTTTTAAGAGTTTGGCCCGAACAAACGGACAAACACTCAATCTCATTATATTTATAGACGAGTTATGTTTAGTGTGCAGTAAATATACAACAGAGTTTTGCTTTTAATCAACAATAATAGCTTGTATATTTTGTTCGTTTATTTAAAAGTAAATGTTTTCAACACTGAAAAGGTTCCCATTCCTAAACTAAATGAGACGAATAAATAAATAACTTTTATATCATTATCGAAAAAAGAACTTTTATAACTTTGGAAGGATTCAATGACATTTTAAAATTGTCCCCACATTCAAATCATTAGTTTATTTGTATTTGGCAAGTTATATCTATAGTTGCCTTTTTTTCAAAATAATCCCATTGTTTACTACAACAAGTAAACTATGTAATGTTTAAATGTAAACATAAGTATACTTGTGTATTCTTACTTAAAGAAACAACTTGTTAATCAGTTTGATACAACACCTGCAGTTTTGTGTTCAGAGAACATAATAAAATGCATGACACACTACAACAAGTTAAATGTTATAAACGTTCCAAAGACATAACTACTGGATTTACTGTCCAATCAATTTTGAACCATTGATAAATTCGCTCTTGTCCACTACTTATTTACTGTTGAGTTTTACAATTGTAAAATTCTGATTTTTCACTATACTTCAATCATATTTTTCGTAACTGTAATAAAAGTAAAGAAAAAGTTCAGTTAGAAATTGTCAGGTGTGGGATTCGAACCCACGCTCCCTTTTGGGGAACCAGATCTTGAGCCTGGCGCCTTAGACCACTCGGCCAACCTGACGTGTCCAAGTTCCTTAAAATCTTAAGATAGTCTCTTACTTGCAGTTTCACCAGTAGATATAAAGTTGCGTCGTGCATAATGCTGTCACGCGTTGCGAACACATTTTAATAAAAGCTTACCTGTTATTATGTAATGATCTCAAAAATGTACAAATGACTAAAACTTTTTCCAAATATTTGCAATTGAAAATAATTTGAGAATTGTTATCTCTATCTTGATAAACATGTTTCGTGGAAGGATCAAATTAGACTCCAACTTAGTGTCTTTATCTTTTGTTTCATAACTGGTTTAATTGGAAATGGTCTATACAATGGTAAACATTAACTTTCTATAGTTTGTTCTGGTGCGTTATAAACAATATTTTGCCATTTGATTTACAATAATTTACATAAGATTTAATTTCTGAAATTTTTAGTGACTTTTCATTTGAAAAAAATCATTAAGAAATGTCGTTTGATTTAATTACAAGTTTATTGCAAAAATTATTAGCAACCTTAACTTTTGTGACAAATATTATTACTTAAATCGATCAACCGTTCCGAAGTTGCATTGTCATGTCTGATTCACCAATCAATCAGACTTGTTCATTAGATTAGTAGCTCTTTGATGTTGAACGCCATTTTCTAACGAAAATATAACTTACTAACGTGTTCTACTAGCCACTTTATGAGAATCAAGATTTCCCTTGTGATATAGAAATACGAGAACACTTTAAAAAACTATTTAAAATCACTTAACTATAAAACTTTTTTGATAGGGTTTAACTACGGAAGCGACATAACAATTTAATTTTCTAAAGCATGTAATCAATTTTTCTACTGTAATCATGCTTACGGAATTTAAGTACCTGAGATAGCATTATACCTATGAAAATATGCCAATAAAAAATATAAATAATCTGTATTAAGTATTAGATTAGAAACTGTGATCCCTAAGAGAGAAGTCAACATCTTGGACCACTCGGACCGCCTGAAACTCTATTTTGTGACTTTCTTAAGTTTCTTGCTCGTTTTTCTTGAAGGAAAACTGCCTTCTGAACGAACGGTACAGTGTAGATTCCCAAAAAATGATGACATATTTCAAGTGTTATATTATGACCTATGAAATAAATATATTTTGAATTTGAAATTTGAAGTTGATTCGATAATTATGAAAATCACTACACTGAAATATGTAGAAGAGTGGTCACATTTATTGGCATCATGCATATGCATCAATAACATGGATATCCACGTCATCGACGATTGCATTACTTTCGTCTTATAGAAAATATTCCAATCGAAAATGCACTGCAAATTCATTCTAGTTATTTGTCGTACAATATATTAAAATAAAAAAATTACATTTATTTATGTGACTTCAGTATACAAATATGTCAACACTATCTGAGAAATAAAGAAATAACATTTATTACTTGCCCGGAAACAATATTCAAAAATACAATATACTCAATCACGGAAAACCTAATGTTAATATTTGTAACAAAAAAACAGTATCAATTTGAGACCATCTCCGTAAAAATCAAATGACCACTATCTCAGCTCTTGTAGTCAGTTGAAAAAAAAATCCATAAACCCTTAACATCGATTTTGAATCAGGGCCAACGTCAGTCACGCGAAAACGCCACAATAAGCTCATACAATAAAACGATAATCAATCAGACTGGTTCATTAGATTAGGAGCTCTTTTAATTTTTGTTAATCGTTACTACAGCCGTTAATTGCAATTCGGCATTTTATTACAAGTAATAAAATCGATAACTGTGTAAATAACACCACATAGGTAAGTAAACTCTCATTTTAACTATGACTTTTAAGAGTAAATAAAAACATACAAGTATAATGTACGATTGCCTACTGTAACTACTGGTTCAATTAAAACATTCAGCCAACATTTCCGTTTCTGCACAGACAGGATGATTCGTGGCTCACTATAAAACAGAAAGCCGATGTGTTGCGCACTCTTTTTGCGTCAAACTCGACTCGGGATGGTTAAATCACAAAACCACAGCCCATTATCCGATGTAGGCATTCTATGGCGGATATTCAATTTATACAAATGCAATCCGTGCGTAGAGTCCTTTTGTGATTTACATTCGCGAGGTGAGTGTCCTTAATGGAATACCTCCCATTGTACTCGCATACGAATTATGTATAAATAACTTTATTGGCTGACATGTTAACGTATAGATATTTATGTTTCGTGCTAAGTATATGAGTTATTCTTTTTCAATAAATATTGAACTTTACACCCTGATGAGTTCCTGACTATGAAAAATCAAATTATAAAATTCATCTCAGGCCAATAGAACTAAGATACCGTGAGTTATGGACGAAATTCGGACGAAAAGTCCGGCAGCGTACGTTAGTGAAGCTAATTTACATACCGATTATTTCTCGGAGAAAACCCAAAGTCACACGCCAGAAGAATATTATACTAACTAGCTTATGGCGACGCCGAAAATACAACATGATAATTCATCAATTTACGCAGAGAGAGCGGATGAAGAGTGTACTATTTGAATTAAAAAGCACCAGGTCCGAATATTGATCACTGGGATTGACTTAGGAATTATAAAATTAAATCAAAGTACCCACTCCGTAGTTCTGAGAAAACATGCCATTGGTTTCGGATATTGTCGCTGATGGATTACAACGGTTATTGAAAACTCCACCTCAGACCATGGAGGGCCTAAAGTCCGAGCCCTCCATATGAAATATAAACATTTTAAGTATGGCTCTGTATCTCATCAGTAAAATTATGAAGACCTAACACATCACGCATCAATATATTAACAAGCCTTTTCAACAAATAAATTCCATTCCATGTCTAAACCACTGGGATTGCATCCATAACGTGAGCTCGGTGCAAACCATAAAGGATCCTATGCATCAGACAAGAGTAATCTTTATGTGAAATATTTCTGGCAACAATCCAAGGCCTCCAAATAGGATTATTTGACATCTTTTAAAATTGCTTAATGGACTTTCCAAAGTTCGCAGATGTTCGAGGTGAATGTTAGTAAACTAGATCGACGTGGCCATCTATCCGACTGCTGATTATGGAGTACATATCTCAAACTCGATATCAGCACCAGAGCATTATAACCACAGACACACGGACTCTACACATAGGGTAAATTTATAAGCCGAGTAAAAGGATTAACTACCTCCTAGAAAGGCTATTGTCACGCGGTAGTTTAAATATGGATTTTAGTTAGTGATTCACACTCATGAACAATATGCATCTACAACATGTTATCCAAGTTATCACGCCTGATACATGTTGTTCATTACCATAGTAATCAATATACCTCTATAGTAATGTATCGATAAAATATGTGGGTGAGTTGATGTATGAAAAAATAATGTAAAGTAGGAGATAAAAGCTAAATTAAAAATCCGACATAGTTTAATTATTAAGATCGGTGTCGAGCCCACAGTCGCCCAAGGAAGGGGGCGGCCGTTTGGCACGTAGGTACCTAACGCAGACGTGTCCGACCGCGCGATGGCTCCCCGTTCAAAAACTCTGATATTTCAGGATTAGATAAAGCTGAAGGCGTTTATTCCTCTCCGAGGACACGTTTACGCGCCTGTAAGTAAAGCTGTCGTTGCAGAAATATTTTTTCTTCCTCGTAGTGTTTCTGAGCACCAGCAATAGTACATTTGAAAATGTTACAACACAAAATACGAATTGCGTTAATATCAAATTCAAATCAAATGAAAAATAACTTTGTTTCGTAGTTAATAGAAATTGCTCTTGAAATTCATCATAAATGATTGTTTTCGACTTTAACATTGCCACCCATTTCAAATACTGATTCACCTTGAGAAGAATGGACTCAAGTTTGTTCTTTTTTGCTCATCGATACAAAATATTGATTATTTAAAATGTTAGTACAACACTTAAAAATAAAATGAACCAACCTTATAGCCGAGCAGTTAAATGCCATGGGTGTTTTCATTAGATATACGGACACGGTATAATAGTCCTTGCCATATATGGCATTTTAAGCGCTTCGTTAAACATTAGTTATAACTAATGTTTAACGAAGCGCTTAAATTCATAAACTGGCAAGTTTTGACTTTCAGTTGGGATTTTATTATAAAAGTACAAACATTGTTACACCCTTAACTATCCAGAATGCTTTTGTGACGTAACTGACCAGTAGTGTCCAACAGACTCATTTTATAAATGTAAGGTATGATGAAAGAAAAGAAAGATATTTTGATTGAAAAAGACAGTATAAATTGTATTTCAGTAATGTATATTTACACTTATTTACTTACAGATATTACAAATATTTTTTTTTTCAGAATGTTCAGAGCAGACATTGCGATTGATTTAGAAGCAAATATATTCTTCCTTTTCGCAGCAGGTTCAGATGATTGAGTAGCTTCCTGATTTGACCCTGCCACGTCTTGCATGGCTGCTAAGTGGTAACTTGATAGTCCTTTCGTGCTTCGTCTCCGTATATGAGGTGTTACCAACTCGGTTGCGATTTCACGTAAAAATAGTTTTCTAAGTGTATTTTTTTTACGTGAGTTCCAATCAGGATGTATATTTTTCCATATAATAAGCGATGCAATGCCAACAACATCTATAATATTTTGAAAAAATGCAATTGGCCACCTATTTGTTTTACGCCGAACTGTATACTCATGAACCATCTGGTCCAGCGTATCGACACCTCCCTTGGTGGAGTTGTAGTACAAGTTTATTTCAGATTTGTTGTTTTTGTTCACATCTTCTTCCTTTCCATGATGCATCGTAGACAAAAGAATTACAGCACGATTCTTTTTGGTACATAAGAGACCAGTGTCATATTTTTATAAAATCCAAATACATTAGACTCAATATCGCGGGTTTTCTTGGGTTGAAAATTTGAGGTATACACGTCTTGTTTTTCTCAATGTTCCAACTATTGTAAGACCATTTTGTGCCAAAGATTTTGCGACATCAATACTCGTGAAATAATTATCAAAAGTAACATTTCTGTT